GAAGAATGATTGACTTGCAGGTTACTTGGTGACCTACTGAAGGTTGCACTAAGTTCTTTTGTTTAATTTACTGTAATGATGCTGGATGCCTTATCAATCAAAAGCAGCAATAGGAAGTTATAAAAGAAATCTTAGAGATTTTTATTTTGATACTTGTGTGTAGTGAAGATAGTTATCTTGGTAGTTGAAAATATCTTTTAGGTATGGGCTCCAGTGGTTGTTGCTTTAAGAAAAATTATTGATTCTCATACAGACTGCTTTCTAAGAATCTTGTTGTGAATTTGAAACTGTTGGATTCAGTTTCATGAAGCTGGAAACCATTTGACCAGTAGCAGTGATTGATAGCAATGATATGCATAAAATTTATTACTATATAAATTTATATATATATGGCTTGAATAGTCTCATACAGGGAAGTTGTAAAGATTTTTATGGCTGTCTAAGCTAGACATTTTGCAAAATGAAGATAGTTCACAGGCAAGATCATCAGGGATACATGCAATAGAAAAAATATTTGTTCTACATTCATATTCGATAGAATTTTTGAGACACTCATTTTATGAGACCTCTTCTTAAATTCTATTAAAAAAAATAGTTTGATAACTGAAAGTAACTTGTATTTGGGCATTCAGTGATATTCACAGAATAAACTTGATTCGCTTGTAAATACACATCATTTGGTTGTCTGAGAATTGTCTTGATAATTCAGGCACATCAAGGAATTTCAGACTCTCATGTAAACAAAATATTTGACCATTGTCTTGTTTTATTTGCTTCAGCTTCTCTTCCTTAAGTGACACAGGAGTCATATTAGAAATGACATTACTTTTTGTATTGTTAAATGTGATGATGATACATGTGATAGGTTGTAGCATTTTATTTGAGTCTTTTTGTGCAGTTAATTCTTATCGTATAAAAGCAAATGGATGTCATATTGTGTATATGTGATGCATATATAGATTTTTTGGATAATTCAAAACCAATTTGACTTCACTGTCTATCTGTAGAAGGAGGCTGGACCCTCTGACATGTCATCCCTTGGTGCTGAAATGGTAAAGATGAAGGAAGAACATGCCGCAGAAGTAGCCCGCCTTGAGAACCAGCTGGCGGCACGGGATAACGAAGCCCTGGTGAGATCTCTTGCTATTATGGCAGCAGAATACATTAATTTGATGTTGAAAAAGGAAGCACTAACCAGCTGTTCTTCACAATATGTGTTTTTATGCACTTTTTAAGTGATGTATGTAATACTTACTACACTTGAATTATGTATTGTGGTGTGAAAAGAAACTTTGTTTTGCTTATTTATTTACTTTTTTTATATATTATCAATTTGACAAATGTCATCTTGTTTGGAATCACGAGTAATGTGATTGTGCAAGGGAAGATAGTTTGTTGTATGCTTGATTTTTCCATTGTAAACTCGGTGAGTTTATTAGGGGAAGAAGTTTAAAATTAACCCAGTGCCGACGAGTAAAAATGTTTGGCAAGTGGACGTAAGAATGGGATTGTTGGCGCACATTGGCAGTTTCCCCTGTTTGCGCCCGGCTCGATTGATAGTTTGTGAGCGACATTTAGCACCTAAAAGCTTATATTTTGCTATAATTTATAATAACCTTAAAATTTTGATGGTTTACCTTCATTATAGGTGCCATTGCCTAAAATCTTTACCATATAAATGAAGCCGCTACTTTTGGAGAAAAACAAACTCCATCCAATGAGCCAGTGGCGCGGGAATGGGCATGATACGATGCCATCCATGTCTCGGTCCACAACAGCCATGGCATGTATGTACGTGCCTCCCGTTGGCTATGGGTTAAGTCATCATAACTTGATAGGCATATAAAGACCAAATTATTACTGAGAGTTACTGAGTATTAGCTATGTTGATGATATATAACAGACCTTGCTTTGGATATACTTCAACATTTAGACAGATCTAAAGATATATATAACATAGAATTTTCTGTGTTCGTTTTGAAAATTTGTCATGGTAGATTAGGTGATGAATAGTAGTGTTAGTGCATTTAGCCTGTGAAAAGTGTACTATTCAGAATCTAACAAAGTAGAGTGTGTCTTTCTATTATTGTGTTGTAGTAGAAGAATGTTCTTTATGGAAGGATTAGCATGATTTGATACCCTTTAAAAGTGTAATGTTTTATTTGTGTAAAGAACATTGAAGATTTTTTTTTTTTTTTAGTTTTAGTTTTTTAGTTGTTTTTAGTTTTTAGTTTTAAAATCATGCATCATGCTGGTATTCTCTCTTGTTATAATGTCTTAGCAAGCTACTAAGTAGATGTAGAAAAAATGGGCCAATGAGCACCTATAGGAACTTAATTTTTGACCAGAAAAGTATTTGTCTCTTGCAGCCAATTTACTAACCCTAAAACTAACAGATGGCAAGCTATGGGTGAAGGTGTTGGAAAAACTGCTTTTTGTAGTATAGTTACATTGGTTCTAAAGGTTCTTATCCTACATGATTGTACTAATATCTGTCAACCACATTTGGAGCCACTGAATGAAATCTGCTACAGTGATTCATTATAATTGAATTATAAATATAAAGATGGAAATATATTAGAATTGAGAAGTCAAAGATTTGTCAGACCATGTCTGACATTTTATCCCTTCCTAGAAAAGCCAACTGTAACAGTAGAGAAAGATAGAGTGAATTTGTAAATGTGAGAGAGAGAAGAAATAAGAAAGGAGAAGCTTGTAAGAACCAACATGCTGGCATGGTTGCAACCATACTTTAGATACTCAAAAAATAACAGTTTAGCTTTATACTTGCCTAACTCCCTTTCCACATTTGTGATAAATGGGCTTGCTCTGTATGATGCATGTTGCAACTGTATTAAAGCATATTGAAATGCCCTAGGCAAATAATAGAATAACTGTCGTCTGTCTAGAGGACCTCACGGTCTTTGATTATTGGCTATTACCTAATTTCATGAGGTTGTTGCAAACTAATTGAATGATCTTTCATATGAATTAATGAAGGATGCTATTTTATGCTTAATATCATTAGATTAAGACACTCATGAAGAAAAAGGTCTAAGTGGCAACCAAATTTAGATTTTTTTTTTTTTTCTTTCTTTCTTTTTTTATTCTTTTTCTTTTCTTTTTTTTTCTTATAATCATTAATTGAAAGATAAAACATAGTTCTTGATCTTGTTTCTATACAAATCGTAGTTGTTTGATAAAGAGAGAATATAAATTGTATTTAATAGATTATATAATCAACATTTTCACTTCCAACATGTTATGAAGTCAAAAGTACCATATTTTACAATAGCTCCTCTCAGCATATCCATGATCATTGTTTACCCATGACTTATTTTTTTAAGAACTTTGTTTGACTGCAGGCTTCTCCTCCATAAGTTTATATATGGATATGTATTTTAAATTATGGATCAATGAGCCTCATGTAATACCAGCCTTTATGCATGCTTCTGGGAGCCAGATGGCCTTAGATGACGAGGTGGATCAGCTTCGCGCTCAGATTGACCGCGATCTAAGCATTAGGTCTGACATCTCTCGCACATTGTGTTCTGAGCTTGAGAACATCAAGATTCAGGTCACACAGGTACTGAATTGCTTTGATGTTTAGCCATAGTACAGGTGCTTCATGTCTTCTGTTGTATTTGTTGTGGGGGCCTCAACAGCTCCAGTGTGGGTATTGTGGGTATGGTGTGATGGTTTAAGGCATGCTTGTGGTGGCTGGGTTGTAGTTTTCTGGTTTGGTTTTTGGGTATTCTTGTTGACACATTGCTGCATTGCCTTTTATTTAGGCCTTGGCAATGAGCTTAACCCTTGTGATTTTGCTTTGCTGTTTTTTTCTTTTTCTTTCTTTCTTTTTGTCTTTTTTTAATTTGAGCACATGCTTTGCATTAGGGGAAAAAGTGAACCTTCCTTTCAGTATTAGATGCACACACACACACACATGCACATGCACACACATTTGCACATGCAATTGCACACACACTCACTCACTCACTCACTCACTCACTCACTCACTCACTCACTCACTCACTCACTCACTCACTCACTCACTCACTCACTCACTCACTCACTCACTCACTCTCTCTCACTCTCTCTCTCTCTCTCTCTCTCTCTCTCTCTCTCTCTCTCTCTCTCTCTCTCTCTCTCTCTCTCTCTCTCTCTCTCTCTCTCTCTCTTCTCTCTCTCTCTCTCTCTCTCTCTCTCTCTCTCTCTCTCTCTCTCTCTCTCTCTCTCTCTCTCTCTCTCTCTCACATTTATATATATACATATATATATACAGTATATGCATATACATTTACACATGCATATGTATATGCACATGTATATTATAAGTATATTATATATCTGTGTAAGTAGTCAGCACCATTGTTCATATATTAAAGAAAAATCAGTGAAAAACATATATTAGACTCAGGTTTGGAAATTATGAATGAAGATTGAAAGGAAAAGATGGTTTGCTTGAATGCTGTTATTTTATACTTTATAGAAAAGAAATAATGTTTACTTTTTGTATGCAGTATTGTTTTATTGTGTTTTACTGTAGATTGTAGAATGTTGAGGTGATATTTTTGAGTTTGTCTTTTATATTTTTCATTCTTTTGGTAAATGAAATAGTGTATGGGTAAAGTTGTTTTTAGAACAATTTGCACACGTTATTTTGCATGTTATTGTCCTGCTTGGTGCCCATATTGCAGGTATTGTGTATTACAATCTTGCGGGAGAGTTTCTTTCATTGGGATAATTGAGGTAAACATTCTTAATTTATTCTTTGTGCAAAAGAATGATACCAGCATTTATTTTGAAGATTGTTTTTATAGTCTGCGCATGTATAAAGTACCGAGATGCTCATGAATATTCATTATACAGGTAAATAACAGAATATTAGAAAAACCCATTATACACAAAATAGATTAATTGAAAAATGTGAAACTGTTGTGTCATCTTCCATTAAACCTATTTTGTGTTATTGTTTTTTACCGCAATATATAGTTTACAGGAATTTATGCATAAATAGTAAAACTTGTATGAATTTATATCACCATTTTAGATTGTAGTTCTTATTTGGTGTTGGAATATGCATGTCAGGTTGTGGGTGAATGCTGTAGAATGGTATTGTACTATAAATTTTTATTGGGTAGCAGTATTTTGAACCTGTTGGTGTTGAGAGAATATCCATTTTTATGTTGCTTTGATTTTTTTCTTTCTTTCTTTTTTTCTTTCTTTTTCTTTTCCCTTTTCTTTGGCTCTCTGTCTTTGTTCTCTTGGGGCAAGGGGGAAAAAAAGATACCATATGAGCCGAAATGACAATTTAGAAATGTAACATAGTAAATGATTTCTTGTTGATTGGTGGGCCCTCTAACATTTGTAAGTTTTTAGTAGAAAAAAAAAAAAGTGCAACATTTTCAAAATGTTATTGATTATGTTGACTTTAATTGTTCTCATCTGATTATGTTGTCTCTCTCAAACCAAAAATAATTCTCCTTTTTTTCATCTTCTGAAATATTTTTCCTAAAACTTTTTACATAATTGTGTGCATTGTCTGAGCAAAGGAAAAGGGAAAAAGAGCCAAGAAAAGGGTATGATACGGCTTTATGTCTGGATTGGGCTTGGGTAGTAACTAGACAATGCTATATGGTAATGTTTTCAATTTTCCTTTATATTCTTTACTGTAGATCTTGATTATATCACTGGTAGATTACAATAATTCTGCATGATTTATATTCATATTTATAGCTCATACATGTGGTTGTGTACTGTATTTGCATCTGCTGATTTAGTTTCGCTGTTATAGATGGACTAACCTTTTTCTTCTCGTAACCTTCCTTATCCTTGTGTTGGTGTCCCCCTGCTTGTCTTGCGTAGCTGGAAGATGCACATGTGAACCTCAACAAGATTATAGAACCAGGAATTGATGTAAACTCTCTCCCATTCCAGCGGCATCTACAGTCTCTGTATAGTGACAGGTTAGTGGGCTGTCATGGGCTTCCTGTTCCTATTCTGTCCTGATTTTTAAAAGTGCTTATAGTAGACATTAAAAGAATGATTGATTCAAGACTGTAAATTTTGTTGATGATAGTTATCACTGTTTCACCTTCCAGGGATTGGTACAAGAAAACTGTAGGTCTCCTTTCTCATGTGACACTACAGTTGCTGCACTACTACAGTGTGGCTGAGAATTACACACACAAGTCCCATGCTGCTCCTACTCATGATTCCATCCAGTACCAAGAGGTAATGCCGGGCAAGGTCTTGGATCTGTCTTTCCTGTCAGACTGCGTGCATGATGAGAACGATGCCAACCAGTATACTACATTCCCTGAGGATAGTGCTGTGTCGACTGGCCTCATTGGGAAGACAGTTGAAGCGGATCATGGTGAAGAGGCAGAACTGGGAAGCAATGCAGAGTCAATGCTTGATAGCACAGCAATGAGCGAAGGGATGCTGGATGACATGGACAAGGATGAGCAAGTCCGCCAAATCCTCACAAAGTCCTATCCGCAGCTGATGTCCATCCTGAAGGGGCGTTGGGATCGTGTCATGGTGGATCATCTGGAAAAAGAGGTCCAAGAACTGACCATCTCTCTTCAGGCATCAGCAGGGATGCTGAAGATTTTTATGCATTCAGTGACTGAGAATCAAGACCTCTCCTCGCACACCATCAGGGATGAAAGTAGGATTGACAATGCAAAGGAAAGCTCTCTTGAACTCACACAGCATCATATGGATGAGTCTCCTGATCGTTCAGGGCAGCCCGGATCAAGTAGACAGGGTGATGAAAGTGGTGATCAGCTATGTGGAGACACAGAGGAATCCTTACCAGATACAGAAAGAGCAAGGCAGCTCGCAAAGTCGCAACTAACTAGTCATTATAGTTCAAAGTATCCTGAGGACTTCTCTCAGAGTCTTACTCAGTTACTGTGCCATGATGATTCCTTCCTAAACTTGACCAAACTGAAACCCCAGGACCTGGGCGATGAAGACAAGCTGAAGCGGGCAATTGTGCAACTTTGCCGAAATGCAGAAGCTACAGATAACCTTCAACTGAAGCTCCATCATCTTGATGGCCTCTTGAAGGGGTGCGAACAGGAGAAAATTGTGTTGGAAGAAGAAATTGAGCATCTCAATCACTGTAACAAGAATCTTGCAATTGAACTCCAGGTATGAACCTCCCAATAAATAGAAAAAAAATTTTCTTGGATCTATACAAATCATGATTATTCTTCAGTACAAAGAAAGCAAAGGTATAGAGACCTTCCAAAATTAACCTGAAATAAGGAAGTAAAATATATTTATTATTGCTACCTAACATAATTTTTATGCATGATTAATCTGTTTAAAACAAATACACTATTTACAGACTGCTAAAGATCAGCTTGAGGAGTTTGAATTAGTCCAACAAGGCAAAGGTGGAGCAGGTACAACCCAGTATGCAGCCAGAATGGAAGCTTCTAAAGATATTAAAGAGAGAGGTATTTTTTTTAAGTTATGTAAATCCATATGTATCATTGTTAATACAAATACAATTTTTTTTTACAGATTTCATGTATTGTTCTAATGATACTTAGGAAATTGTAAGATTCGGTGATAATTGTCAGTGTAGAATGAGAGGATTCAGTTGTGCAATTCAAAACTTCAAAAAATATTTTCAAAGAACATTTCAAAGCTGTTTGTAAATAAAAGGAAGCATTATATAAATAATAGTAATGATGGTCATGATGATCAAGATGATTATGAATATGATCATAAAAAAAAAGATAATATGGATGTTAATGATAATGATTTTTAAAAATTATAATGATAATGGTACCTATGACAATGATCATAATTGTAACAATGATAGTGATTATAATAATAATCATGAGAATGGTGATAATATTAATAACAATGATGATAATTATGCTATTGATTTAATGAATTATGAAAATAATAATCTAATGACACCCTTTCAAACATTTCAACATAGTCCGAGCACTCCTGTCTGCCAAGAACAAGTCCTTGATGAACCACACAGAATTGATATCTCGCATTGGGGACCTCGAGGGGATGCTTGAGGCCCTAGTGAGAGAGAGTGATGCAGTTACTGAGACACTAAAGGCCCAGGTGTCAGATCTGTCACAGCAGGTGGGTTAGGGGATCATTTTCTTTGGTTTTGTGAGGATTCCATTAGGTGCCTGACTACTTTTTTTTCTAGTGCAGGTGTATTAGTTGGTGGATTTTGAATTATTGTATCTTTAGTTTGCTCTGTGTTAACCCACTTTATTTTGATGTTATTTGATTAAAATTTAGGAGATTGCTAAGAGCAGCAACCAGTTATATATTTTTTAAAGAGTAGTGTCAAACTTAGAATAAGTGATGACTCCAGAGACACAGTGGTTCTAACTCCACTTTAGTTACAAAGTTAGTTTTGTCTAAGATATTAGTCATATCATAAGTATAACTGTAAAGTTCTGTTTCCAGTATCTTATGGTACATATGATTTACATATTTACATTGCTATATATATTTTCATGCATATATTTTAGGGGGCTTAAGATACAAATATAAGAAGTTTTGCGTGTAACAGATAAACAAAATTTAAAGCTGTTACAGTGCTCTTGGTCTTACACTCTAAATTAGCCTGAGTTCCTCAAACTTTTCATTGTGGCTACACTAGCTGGAAGTAGCAGACCGTCAGCTTCGATCCTCTCGCCAATTTCTGGAGGAACACGCCAGTGAACGTGACCAGGAGGTGGAGGATCTCATCCAAGCAAAGGAAAAATTACAAGTTCAGCTGCGAGAAAGGGATGCTGTCATCACACAGCACGCAAACCTAGAAAAGGAGGTATGGAATGTATCTTTTATCATTAAGAGAAAATCTTTACACACACAGTACACTGAAGTTGAATTTCTGCTGTTCCATTTCCATTTCTGAATAAGCCTTATATCACTTCACACTGTTGTAGAGCAGGTTTTGAAATTAAGAGTGCTGAGATTAGATTTGACTCTAATGACTAAAGAAATTTGTGAAATATGCTATCATCAAAAATATCTCAGCAGGATTGATGTAGAACTTGATTAATGTAAAAAAGAATAGTTACCATACACACATCTTATTCTTTTATTCTTTCTATCACTAAAAGCTGGGTAGGACACATGCATTCCGAAGGAATTACTGATATTGCATCCTTTTCTCTAACTGACTGCCAGTGCTTAAAATGCATATGTGGAGTCACATTCATGAAATATGCTTTGTGATATGTTGCTGTCTTTTTTTGTTCTCTTTTATTACATGCCATTAATTTCTAGCTTCAGGATTTGCATGGTTTGGTAATTTTTATTTTCTTAGTAGATGCTTGCTGTAGCATGTTTTTTTTTTCTAACTGCCTGCTATTATGTGTCTCCTATTCAACCCATACTTTTAGAAGAGCAGAAGCATGGCCTAAATGAAAAGACCGGTTAATGACTTTTATACAGATTAATTCATTATGTACAGGGAGTTTATGCATTTGGATTACATTTGCATGTATGCATATTTATTATATAGTGTGTGTTATGTTTGTATGTATGTATGCACTGCATACATACATATTTGAAAATTCATATGCATGTTTGTATGTCTGTGGGTGTTTAGTTTGCATACGTATGTGCTGTATATGTGCAAGCACATGCATCTGTATGTGAGGAGTAACACCAAGCTGCTACAAAGATATATGCTGAAACTCATCAATCCTTATACCATTCACAAAGTATTAACCTCCTTTATAGTTTCCTTTTTTGTGACTTGGTGTATACATTTTAAAAATCCTTTGCTTGTTTCAACTTTCATCCTTTCTGACTAACCTTTGTAGCATGTTTATTACAAGATAAGATTTTAACATCTTTCTCTTACATGAACAATTACATAGACATGATATGTTGATGTGAATTTGCATGTTTCCATACTTGATGTAATGTGTAACTAATATATTTGGAAATACTGTTATGGTTGATAAGTTGTTTTGATTGTACATGTGATTGTAGTGCATTTGTACATGCTGAGGAGAAAATGCAGATTAGAATAAATATGACTTATGGTTGACTGTTACCTGATTACTTTCATATTAATTGTTAACTGAGTTTTGGGTTGAAGGTTAGGTAAGTCCTTTATGATAGATGGATGCTGGTAAATACTGTTTAGTGTAACATATGCATGATTAAATTATGACCTCTGCAAAGAGTAACATATTGTTGTTTTGTGTGTGCTGTACATTTTGATGCTTGTCTGTGCACATTAGTCTTTTAAGTTTTTAATGTAGTGTGTGATTAATTGCGCATGTCCATGCATGACAAATGATTAAGTATGATTCACTTCAAAAAATCTTTTGTGTTCAGATTTATATTCACCTGAATATTGCGATGATTTGTGAATTAAGATAAAATAAGTTAGTAGATGCTGATGAGCATACAGTAGCACCTAATCCACAAGATAAGGAATGCAACAAATGTCATATTGTGTCGTAGGTGGAGAATTTAGAACGAGATTTACGAGAAAAATCACAGGAACTTCAGGATGCTCTTGCCCTAAAAGAGGAATTGCTAGCCGAGAACAAGACTGCCGTGGATAAGGTAAACGTTGTTGTGTTACTTCGTTGCACCCGAACTGTGAGAGGTTAAAGCCCCTTTTTTTTTCCTTCTTTTTTTTTTTTTTTTTCTTTTTTTCTTTTTTTTATATATCTGATTTCCTGCATTTACAAAAAAAAAAAGTTATTGTTTTGGTGTTTGCGATTTGCACACTTTTTGGTTTAGTCATGCATGAATGTGTTTTACATTGCTTTATTTCCTTGTGTTATCTGTACCCATATACAAACATCAAATATTATTTCATCAGCAGCATCCTTCTGTACAGTACCACACCTATTACACATTTTATTTTGATTTTATTTTTGTTATTCATTATGTCACTTGTATGATGATTTTGATTTAAAGGTTGATTTTTTTTGTTCTCCCTAATGCTCTTTAGAGCTGATTTGTAATATAAACGCATTAAATGAAATAATTTAGAAGAGTGTTTCATCTAATACTTTGACATATAAAAGAAAGCGAAAGGAAGAGAGAGAGGGAGAGGATAAAAGAGAGTGAGGAGGAATAGAGACAGGGAAAGGAAGAGTGTGTTGGGAAACGAGAGGGAAGGGAAGAGAGCAAGTGAAAGGGAAAGATCCTGACCTTGATTGTTAATGCATGGGGCGCTGGTTAGTGCATATTCTGCACATACGGAGTGAAAGGAAGAGAGAGTGGGAGAAATGAAGAGGAATGGAAAAGAATACATAAAATGTAAGAGAGAAGTAGAGTGAATGAGTAAGAGTGAGAAAGAAATAGAGAGAGAAAGAAAGAAAAAAAAATAAAGAGAAATAGAAAAAGTGATTGTGTGGAAAAATTATTAATAAGAGGATGAGGGAGAGGGAGATCGAGATACAGATACAGATTCAGAGACACTAAGATAGGGGGAGAAGGTAGACACTAGAGAATAGAATAATAGAGGAAAGGAGGGAAGGGGGGTTAAATGGAAAGAGAGAATGAAAGAAAAGAAAAGAGAGAAAAAACAGAAGACAGAGAGATAATGGATGAATGAGAATAAATAAAAGTTAACACTTCATAATTGCTTTCTGGGTTGTCACTAACCAATCCTCTCACATTAGATCTGGGACCTTCGTGATATCATACAGTCCCTGGAATCCCAGCTGGATGCCAAATGCGTGCAAGAGCTGGAGGTAAACACCCAGGTTGAGTCCCTAAAATCAACCCTTGCGCAGGCACAGCGTCACTCCTTGGATCTCACTCAGCAGGTAGACTTAGATCGAGCAGATGCATCTTTTTTTGTTTTGTTTTGTAATTGGTCTGTAAAGACAAAGTATAAAATTTACATGATTAAATTGATTGCATGAGCATGGTAGTTTCCAGTCAAATTACTTTTTAACTTGTTAATCGATAACAAAGACTTCAAAGTATATATCTCACTGACGTATTACTAGCAGTAATATAAAACAGTTTAGGGTTAATAACATGGTATTTTAATCAGAATAAATGAAACATGTAGTTGCCAGACTAAATTAAGCATAATTTATTTTTGTAACTCATGCATGATACTAGGTCTACAATGATATTGATAATTTAGTTTGTGATAGGTGTTATTACCTAACCGCAACCTCTCAAAATGAAATTAAACCCAGCTTGAAGAGGTGCAGTGTGCAAGAGGTGAGGAAAGTACTGGGTATGGAGAGCATGTGTCCACGCGCCTCTCTCGCATCGGTGCCCCAGAGGAAGAAGAGAATGAGGCCCAGCATGCGAGCTCCTCCTTGTTCCAAGAGCTGACTCAGGAGGGTGGGCTGGCCACTCAGAATGCCAATGGACAAACTTTGGTAATGGACTGTGGATGTTTGCCCTCTGTTTTGGATTTTTTTCTTTAATGTGGTATTGGGCTGTTCTCGTTCTGTGTGTCTGTCTGTCTGTCTATTCGATCTTTCTCTCTTCTCTCTCTCTCTCTCTTCTCTTCTCTCCTCTCTCTGTCTCTCTCTGTCTCTCTCTCTCTCTCTCTCTCTCTCTTCTCTCTCTTCTCTCTTCTCTCTCTCTCTCTCTCTCTCTCTCTTTCTCTCTCTCTCTCTCTCTCTTCTCTCTGCTCTCTCTCTCTCTCTCTCTCTCTCTCTCTCTCTCTCTCTCTCTCTCTCTCTCTTCTCTCTCTCTCTCTCTCTCTCTCTCTCTCTCTCTCTCTCTCTCTCTCTCTCTCCTCTCTCTCTCTCTCTCCTCTCTCTCTCCTCTCTCTCTCTCTCTCTCTCTCTCTTCTCTCTCTCTCTCTCTCTCTCTCTCTCTCTCTCTCTCTCTCTCTCTCTCTCTTCCTTCCCCACCCCACGAGTATCTCTTCCATTTTTCTTTCATTTCAAAACATTGATATGAGAGGTTTGTATAAACCCCATGTCTGTTGCCAGTTGGAAACTTGTTTATTAGAAATTAGTACATTTTATTTTTTTGGAACCATTTAAAACTAGTGATCTTTGTTAAGAAATGTGTCATACTTAACTTTTAAAAACATCATTGTTATGCTTTAGAGGCAAACATTAAGTATTGCCATTATGCACTCTTGGGAGTTTTGATTTTGAATTAGGAAAGTGTTATCTCTGTTTGCACTGTCATATTGATTACCTTGTAGAAATGGAAGTAAATCCATAATATTTTATTTTAGCTGTAACAGAATAAAATTCACAAGTGAATCTGATAAGTATAAAGCTGCATTTTTTCATACTAAGTACTTCTATTGTACATGGAAGTTCATAAAAGAATTGAAATTGAAGTTCAAGTGAATAACATCTCTAAAGAAAAAATTACTTGAGCCATGAGGATTTTTTAAACTACTGTATACTATCAAATTTGAATTATAAATACATTCTGGTTTATTATTATTATGATTATTTTAAACAGCTTCAGGTGATTGAAGACAGGTTGGATAGAACCACAAGAGGACTTGAGGCTCTGCAGCTATCCATCTCCTCAGCCTCTCAGTCCGAGGAAGATTTGTCTGTCAAGTAAGTGCCTTTCTTTTTCTTTCTTTCTTTCTTTCTCTCTATCAGTATGCAAAATTTTGATTATGTTCAGGATATTTGAGAGTTGGTATTGATTTTGAGAAAGGGGGCTTACATGTGATATGATGGGGGAAAAAAGGTATGAATGGCAGTGAGTACTTTCAGAAAGTAAATTCACATGTGTAAGATTTTGGCATGTTGGTGCTCTTCCCTTTATTGCAGTGAAGCTATAGAATACTGGAATATAGATTATGCAGTTTGCCTTGTGAAATTGTTTCATGCCTCCTTTCAACATTAGCTACAATGAACTTAGAGCTCTTTGATTTTACTGAACATTGCTAATGGTTTCACAGAGATCACCTGGAAATCCCATCTTTACGTGAACTGGAGAGCAGCCGAGCCTTGTCTCCATCCACTCTGGACAGACGATTAGAAGATAAGTTGATGATGCTGGAGCGCACCACAGAAGCAGCAGTGAAGCGCACACGGGACCTGGAGATGACTGTCAAAAATCTGAGGCTGGATCTAGATGTACGTGGTTTTGTTGAGAATCATAAATCTTAAGAATTAGTGGCCATGATTGGAGTAAGTTTTAGCATAATTGTGTCATCCAACATCTGTGTATTACAAACACGAGAGTAAAACATGGTCACCCACTGCCTTTCAGGAGGCAATAATAGAGCGAGATGCCCTCCAAGAGCGGTCGAGTGAGCAGCTTGTTCAAATCTCAAGCCTGGAAGCACGGCTGGATGAGCTCAGGAGGTCAGACCATCCCATGGCTGCTGAGATGAGACAGCGATTTACTCTGGTTCAAGAGGACTTGGAGAAGAAGAGGAATGAATTAGCAATAAAAGGGAGAGAGGTAATGCCTTTTTGCTTTTTTAAATAGTTTTTTTCTTTGTATTTTGTCCCCCCATTTTTTTTCTTTTTTCAAAGGTAGTTGTTGAATATATTAAGAAATTTGTTTAGATATCAGTACTGTAATAAAAAAAATTCTGCCTCAAGCAATACCTTTTGTGTAAATCATTTATGACTAATTTTACAACTATTTTAATGCTGGTTCATTATTAAATCTTTGAAGTGATACGCATCATCACAAAATTAAGAAAAGATTTTAGAAGTCAAAATTACATAATTTTTTTATAATTTGAAGAAAAAATCATTAGAATTTGTTTCACTAAGCTTTGTAGATTTGGTGTTATTTTCCTGTCTTTCCTGAAAGTTAAACTTCTGAAGTTACCCAGAAAAGGGATTCAAATCATTATCTTCATGTCTTACTGGTTGTCCAAACTTTCAGGTTGAGGAGCTACGATTCAACTTGAACGACCTCAGAGGAAAATTGTTGTCCCGTGAAGATGAGCTGCAACGACTGCTGTCTGTTTCACAGCCTCACAGTCTGCCTCAGTCATCAGCTGAACAGCTCCTGGCCAAACACCAACAGCTGGAGGATGAGCTTAAAGCAAAATCTGATGTGATTGAAAAATTAAAGGTAATTAGATACAAATACAAGAACTCTGGTCTTATCTCTAAGAGTTTTTGAGATATTTAAAGTTCAGAACAATCTCTAGATTTGTTTTAAGAGATACAGGATTTAGTTCTTGATATATTCCATCTAGTGCCATGTGATATTATTCTTTTGTCATGCTATGCATTCAGCTGTCGTCCCACCCCATTCCTGGAAAGCACTCTTTGCCATGTTCCATTTTCTTCCATTGCATGTCATTAGTTGCCATCCTTTCCTAAATAAATAATCGTAGGTCATTTAGCCAAGTTGAAAAATATATATATATTATTCAATTTGCAGAATGAATTGTCTGATGCAGCCAAAGGAAGTGGAATGCCTTCTGTGCTTTCGTATCGTCTTTTTGATGACAAAAATGCTGAAATTGACAACTTGGTTCATCGTCTGGAGGATGTGAAGGCCAGAGTTAAAGAAGTGGCTTTACAACTGTTGCAAAATGGAAGTGTAGAGGAAGCAGTGAACATGGTAAGTATATGATAGCCCTTTAAAGTATCTTTGAAATATTGTGCTGTAATGTCTGAAATCATAGATTCTCTTATTTGATCATTTGCCAACTGCTTGCTGCCACCTCATGCAACATGATTATATATTCCTGTATGGCACATTACTTTGAATGTACATTTGGGAGATGATGTACATTGGTGTTTCTAAATTCACCACTCTAGTGTGTATTTTCTTCTTTTTTTCTTGTCATGAACATGATATAGTGCACTGGATAGTGAAACAAACTATTAGTTATTTGTCTTCCTCTTTGGTTTATAGCTGATTCTCTTATGATGATCAGCATAGATCTAAATGGAAAGTTTTTCATTTACAGCTAAAAAGAATTGCCTCTGATGGGAAGTTCCATGAGAGTCTGGATAGTACCTACAACACACACAGCCTGGAAGTGTTGAGGAGAGATCCAGTTGAGGTTTCTCCAAACTTGACTCCAGTTATGGTTAGTTGAATTGCATAGGATCAGGTGAAACAGGTTTTTTTTATTACAATATTTATAACAATATTTGAACACTGAGAACACTGAAAAGGATTTCACTCACTATGTAATGATGTGATATTTTATTATAGGTACCAAACTCCAAGGAAAAATCCTCAGTGTTGATCATGCCCACAAGCCAAGAAGAGGACACAATTACCACGCAGTCATCCCAAGACCTATCGTTAATGTCAGTACAACCAGATGTCCTGAAGGTTCCAGATAATCTTGTCCATGAGGCATTATCAGCTTCAACAGAGTTGAAACAGGTAACCGTAATTTTATTTTCTTGCTATGGACGTTTCCTGGGAAAGGGTTTAATCAAGTTGAAGTTTGCCAGTTACATGAGAAGAGTACAGCATTGCTATTACTGTGGCAGATTAAAATTACTTGAAAGAATTTTTATGTTTACTTGTATGTTTAGGATCCAAATCACTATATTGAATAAAGAATATCACACCAAGATTAATTACCCTTTGTGAATGGCTCTTCTGTTCACATGCATATATTTTGACAGGTGTTAGATGAGGTGATTCAAGGAGGGGATAAAGAAACTGCTGGTGCTTCTGAAAATGAAGTGGAAATGGGAACATCTGAGGTTAGTAGGTGCAGTTATGAGTAGATTGTAGTCCATAAGAAGTGAGTAGTGATTAGTTTAAACTTTCTTTTCTTTCACTATTATTACTTCCTTGTGAAGTAAAGAGAGATGAAGAAAATTGACCAGATGCTCCACATTTTTCATCATTGTTTTTGTTTTAGAAGATAGTTCACCAGGATTACTGGAAAGTTTTTGGAAAGAAAGAATATATATATGTTTTGAGGGCATTGAAAGGATATGTGTATGTTTTGAAGGCATTGTGAAATTTGGTTGCTCATTGAAGTATCTCCTCTTCTTCGTATTATTAATTTATTTGTGTTAACATCCTCTTTTTGATGTTAGGCTACAGATTAGTATAGATTCTAATTATATATATTTTTTGTGTGACATAACTAGGCATCACTGGCAGCACATTCTCAAGCAGAAGAAGAGTCTCTTGATGTCACAAAAAGAATGGTTGATTCATCTCAGGTCTGTACAGTTGTGTTAAGGAAACCTCTGGATGTCTTAGTCATGTTTAAGGGTTACTACTTATATCTGTTTATTTTTTCATCCTCCTACTTTCATAGGTTTAATATATCTACTTTTATACTTGTATGGATTTTCTAAAAGTTTACAGACATTTTTTTCATTTCTGGCTTGATTTTTTTTTTTTTTTTTTTTTTCCCCCTTTTTTTTCATCCTTCTCTTAGTGTTTTATTTTTGTTCTGTTCTCTGTGTTATGAAGGAGGGAATTGAACCCAGGCATGGAAAGCCTTCACCTCCAGAGCAGACAGCTACATGTGGAGAAATTACACTTACCCGAGAAGACTATGAAAACCTCTGTTCTGCTAGTGATGAAGTTACTGTCCTTAGAGTTGAAATTGACCTTTTGCAGAAGGAGATAATCAGCTTAAATGACTACCAGGTAGATGAGTTCCGGGGCAAGGAGGAGATGCAGATGGCTTGAATTGTTGTCAGCCTTGCCTGCTTCCGAGACCTAACCACTCTTGTGCATAAGACCATTGTGATATACAGTGCCTGTTTGAGTTCTAACAACTGTATGGAAGACTTTTGACCAATGACTGCTGGCACTTCGTAGTTCGTAGGCAAACATTTGGAATAACAAGAGAAGTGTTTGGTTCGCCAGCGTGTTTGTGGATTAGTAATTGAATGCAGCTTTGACTGTATGGTATTTTGAGTGGGAACTATAAGGTTCCGTGTTCCAGTTTTTGTTATGACCTCTGTAATGACACCAGATTTTTCTTTTCATTATTGCGCCATAGCATGAAGATATTGTGCATTTTTTGTATTTAAAACAATACTACTAATAATTTCAAAGCTTTAACTGAAAGCAGCATGTTGGAGCTCTACTAATTAATATGGAAAAGGTGTAGTTTGAAGCCTCTTAACATTTAGATTATAATTTTTTTTCTTGTTGATATTGCACATTACTATAGTGGTAATTGAGATGCCTAAATGTTATTTAACACTCCAAAGAATGAAAAGTAAAAATTCCGTTGATATACTTAAGGTTTGTACATAGGTCTGTCAAACACATTCAGAATTAGCATGAATAGAGGAATTTTCACTGTAGATATCTACACTCAGTAGTTTTCTTTTCAGTGTTATTCTCTGAGAAGGAAAATCTTAGGATATTTGAAAGAAAAGTGCACATTGGTAAATAACAGGGGCCTAGTAAAGAGAAATTTAAAGAGATGCCATTTATAAATAGTTATTATTTTATTCTTTTTTTTTTGGGGGGGGGGGGTATTTTTTAGAAAAGATGGGACATCAACAATCACAAAGTGATGAATAATTATCTCGCATCTATGAAATGACCTCATGGCACCCCATTGCTAGTGCTTAAGTAGCCTAGGGAAATCAATGAGAATAAAAGGATAAATTAGAAATAGGATTTTTTTTTTTTTTTTTTTTTTTTTTTTTTCTTTCTTTTTTTTTTCTCTTTTCTTTCTCTTTCTTTTTTTTTTAATATGAAATCAGGGCATAAGGATAGCTTAACATCAGAGAGAGTTCTTGCTAGTCTTCAGCATTTTTTGTTTTTGTTTTTTTATAGTTTGGAATTTATTTTGTGTTGCCTTCAGTTATTTTCACATTTAATTTATATGAAAAGAAAAGTAAGTAAAAGGCTATTATTTAGTCACAATAAGCAAATTAGAGTAAATGTGATGAGTAAAAAATGATTGTTTGGTAAATGATATTCCATGATATATTGCATGCCTAGGAACGGAGCAGAATAATAATCCCATTATTTAAAAGTATGGACAGGCTTTATGTAAAAACTTGGTATATTCTATTTCATATTGCTTCATTCCTGTTTGAAAGAATAATGAAGATTCTTTTCCTGTGATAAATCCGGCGAGTGAAGGTGGAATTAAATTACGTCAAGTTGAACATGGATTTAAGTTCAAATGGCGGGAATTGAATTTATTGATAAAGCTTTGTTGAGTTGATAGTTTGAAAAGAAGTCTTAAAACAGATAAATAAATTGGGAAGTGATAAATAAGCTTTCTAAAAGAATAAAATGAGTACTTTACTGAAGGGAGAAACAGGATTTTAGAATAAGAAACGGATTGTCATGTTACATTTATTTCATTATTAACACGCATTTACAATATTATATATATGATAATCATGTATATAATATATATTATATATTATATATATATATACTATATATATATATATCATAAATGTATGTATATTATATTGTACTATATACAGTATATTTATATATATATATATATAAATATATATACTATATATAATATATAGTATATATATATATATATATATATATTATATATATATATTATATATTTCCTATTATATATAATTATATATATTATATTATATATATATATAATATATATATATAATATATATATATATATATTATATATATTATACTTATATGCGTATGAATATGTATTTGTTTATGTGTGTGTGTATATGTATATGTATACATATATACATATATACTTAAACATAGATATAAATATGTATATATTTTTATTGTACATATAGACAGAGAGACACAAACAAACAGAGACAAAGCACATACAAAAAAGGTATATCTTTATATTTATAAAATGTTTATATAAAGGTATGTGTTAAGTATCTATTGCTATGATATATATCCTTATGTATGTAAATTGTACTAGAGTGTTGTTGAATGCAAATGGAGAATGAACATAAGAACTGACAAAGACTAATCCAGTGAAACAGGTGTGTGTGTGTGTGTGGATTGTATAACAATTGTTGACCTGAAGCAAGAATGAAAGATTAAATTCAATCAAGTGTATGTATTTCCACAAAATAAAGTTATGTGAAATTGTGTAATGGTAGGTGCTTCACAGGGATCAAGTGTAGATATACATATACCCTGTATATTTTTTACTTTATGAAGTTCGTAGGTTGTATCTCTTTTCTTTAATTTTAACAGTTAATGTATTGTGCAAAGTGTATGATTGTTGGTAATGATGATTTAAAAGTCATATCAAAGACATCATTAGTATCATTTAGGTCAATTGTAAGTACTCCTAGGTAATGAATATATACAAGCTATTTTGTTTTTAATTTTATTGGTCTTTCCTTATAATGATTTCTTTGATACATACACAAAGTTGAGCTTCAAGTTCAAGCTTTGTGTCATGTTTGGCATTTGCTTACCCGGATATTCTACATATGCCATCAACAGAAAAAACTGGAGGATGACTATAGAATAGCTCAAGATTTGTTAGAGGCACGTGAGGCAGAAATCACACAGCTGTCAGAGGAAATTGAGGATGTTGTACCACAGCCATTGCCCTCAGAGACAATCCAGCTGCAAGATAGATGCTTCAGACTGGAAGAGCAGGTGGGTCTTTCTTTTAAATCTGTGAAAGTGTTTGCATTATTTTAGTGTTATTATTATTAATAAAAACCATTCCAATAGAGTTTAATGAAATGTGGGAAAAAACTTTTGACAAATATTTTGAACTCAGCTGTTGGAGCTACAAGGCAAGTTGGAAAACATAGAAACCGATTATGAAGAAGAAAGAAAATGCCATCAAGAGTCTGAGGAGAAGTTAATGGAATATGGAAAGGAAAGAGATAGGCTCAAAGAAACCATCAGAGAAGGCTCTGAAAAGCTGAAGAATATGGAAATGGAATTAAGAATGACTAAACATAGTTTAGAGGAGAAAACAGACCAGTTACAACAGGTATGTATTAACTCTTAGGCAGAAGGCTCCCAGTACACTCATGGCTTATTTCCATAATTTGATTTTTCCTCCCAAATAATTTTTTCACAACCAGTGTTTTCCATTGTACTGGGGCTTTGTCAACTGGCTGGTGTATGTGCCTTCTAGTGCTTGGTTGACTGGCAACAGTCGACCATCATGCTCTCAAATGTGAATATTATAAATTCACTTATGGATGTTTCATAGAAATGTGTCAGTAATGATACATGCTCAGGTTGTGTAAATAGTACTTTCTTTACAGTTAAAACAAAAGTACGCTGAACAGGCAGTTGTACTTCGCTATAAAGAAGAGGAACTACTTAAAATGAACACACAAGTGGACCAAATACAGGTGGAGATGAAAGAAAAGTTGTCTCATGCCAACAGAGAACTCTCAAAGATGGAGCAACAATATCAGCGAGAGATATTAGGTGATGAATGATTTGGTATTTTTAAAAAGGTTCTTTTGTTGGAATATTAGTTAAGCTATTTTGTTAAGAAAAAAAGTAGATACATTTGGTTTGATGTTGTCAGTTTTATATCTTACACTGGTCAAACACTGAAATTAGAATGATGTAACTGATATTAATAATATCATCCCTTTGAAGGAAAAAGCATGTAACAAAAACCAATGATTCATTACTAATGTCTTGCAATTTGATATGCTTACAGATGTGAAAGAAGAGCAGATTGTTAGGGAAAAGCAATTATGTAGTGACTATGAGGAACGCATGGCTGATCAGGTGAGTGTTTGTTCCCTTTTCTCTTTTCACTTTCAGATTTAGGGCTAGAAACTTTTTGTGTGTCCTTTGTCTGCCTTTTCATTCTTTAGAATTACACTCCCAGAAGGAATTTTTTCCTGAAAGTTATTTTGAACTATATTGATATTGATATATTGGTATTGATGATGTGACAAAGAAAGGTATTATCATGTGATAGGTGAAGTGTTTGCATGCAGTGATTGTTTTAGTATGATGATACTTCAGCTGGTATAGTATCCAGGTGAATTATAAAAAAATATTTCAGCCTGCATGATACAACCTGAATAGTCATAATATTGTTGTGTTTATTTATAGGTTAATATTTCCTTTATTTGTAAAAGATTTCCCGATCTTTCACTTTTAACCTACACCCCCTTTACAGGTGAGTGATTTAACCAAACTGGTACGGGACAAAGAAGAGACGATATCCAGGATTCGCCTGTATTACGAGTCTGAACTGAAGGAGGCAGTTGCACAAAAGGACCAAGCGTTACGAAAGGCTTGCGAATGGCGGGAGAAACTGAGAGTGGAAGAAGCAGGCGAACAGAGCAGGGATATTAGTGAGTTTTTTTTTATGTAGTTTCTGTAACTTTGCCGTGAAAGTATACATCACCATTGAATACTTTGAATAGAGTAATCACTAAACACCTGCAACATCTTTAAATTCATTCCATTTGTTTTTCCCAAGATCGTTTGTGTGATTCCCTTGAAGAGCTGAAGGCAGGTGTAGCCCAGGAGGTTAACAAGTCAGACCAGCTGGATACATCTCTGGTCACTTACCTGAAGCAGGGGCAGGATAGGGAGAATGCAGGTCATTCAAACAGAGCCTCTAGCACCTTCAGTGATATCAGCGAGGGGGATGAGACTGGGGATGTTGTCAACAAGGTCCAGAAACTTATGGCGAAGGTTCATCAAGAAGGTGTCCAGGTAATGGTCATTTGAAATACCTGTTTATTAAAGAATGCTATTTAAAATATGGGAACAGCTTATATATTTTATTTGGGTTTATATTGATGTACTATTAGTTTTTCTTTATATGTGTAAAAATTTATCTAGAGAGATTCTGTCCTTTACATGAGTGTGAGATGAGTTCATCTTTACAGTTAGAGTGCTGATAAATGTTGTTGATTCTATTTTTATACAGGTACTGACTTTGATCGAGCTAATGTTCCTCCAGAAGCACCAGTCACACCTAAATACCACACAAAAGTCTCTCATTAGTCAGACTGGCTTACTGGGGCTTGAATCCCTTGACAACTCTAGTGTTGCTTCAAGAGAAGTGTCACCAAAATCTGGGCCTAGTGGCATAGATGCACTCGGCAACAGAGAAAGAACACAGCTACTTCGTCGCATGGCGAGTCTGGAGGAGGAGCTTGGCAAGAAGGAGAGAGAGATGAAGGAGAAAGGTTAGTAAAACGAGACTAACATCTCTGGCTTTTTTATTACTTGTTTTGTATGAGGCTGTGTTTACTTCTTTACTACGAATTAAACCTGTGGTGTGTATGCAATTTGTTTTAATGCTGTTGTCTCTAAATGAAGATTTATGGAACATATAGTGTTTTTTCTCACATTTTGTTGCTAAAATCAATTAAAGGAAAGAAAAAATGAAAATTAGAGGGATTATAGTATATACTGAAAGTGGAATTTCCAAGAACCAAGTCAGAGGCAATATGGATAATATGCATTTTGATGTTTTAGCAAATAGCCTTTGTTGATTGGGCATTTTGTTGTTAGTGTGTGATGATAATTTAGTGGGACAGGATTAAGGTTGTTAGGCAAGAGATTTATATTTATCATGAATCATTCTAGATTTTTTTTTTTTTTCTCCAACAGTTGAACAGCTAGAATTCCGCCTGGAACAAGAAGAGATAGCAGCAGATGAACTGAAATTGAATTCTGAAGCTGATAAAAGAAGAATAGAGAAGTTGAGCGAGCAGTTGCATCAGGAAAGACTGTCAGGGGCGGATCAGATCTCAGAAATAACATTTTTACGATCTCAACACACTGCCCTGCAGATACAACTACAAAAAGTGCAGGAGGAAAGGAATCATATAAGGTAATTGGTATTTTGTGTACTGTAATCCATTTTTCATCTAGTTGTTTTTCTAGTGCTCTTCATGTTTTAATGCATATATATTAAAGACACCAAATATAATAATTTCCTTGACTTATGTGCTTGTAGCTGTCCAATAAATCATGATTTGATGTAAGATTTTTTTCTTTCTTTCTTTTCTTTTGATGTTTTAATACCTTTTTGTGTGTGTCTGCTGCACATAACTTCCCTCACTGATTGCAGTATGATAGTTTGGGTGATTTTATTAAGCTCATGATTTTCATATCTTTGTTTGTGTGTGTGTTGTTTTTGTGTTTTTTGTTTTTTTCATCATCATTTAATTTTATGTTACAGAGAAAGCTTGGATAGCACTCAGAAACAGATTGAGACTCTGAGAGCAGACCTGCAAGCAGAGCGCAGTAATTTCAGCAATGTTTCAAAAGTACTTAATCAGCAGCGTCGTTTGTCTTCCACCACCAAGAATCAGCAGAATCAAGTCATCATGGTGAGAATTGATGAATAGATCAGTATGAAATGTTTCAGGATAATACAGTGAGGTTTGTGGTTCACTGAAGTCCTCCCTGTACCATTTGAAGAAAAAGAATGAAGTGATAGGGAAAGGAAATAAAAGAATGAGGATTTATTTTGTATGTTCAAGTAAAACTATGATTTCATATTTTCAAATAGAGCAGTGCTAAAAGGAATAAAATTTACTAATGACTAAGTATTATCTGTAAGGATGACTCTATGTGCATTTGTTATGGAGTGCATCCCCAGTATCTGGTGATACACATTTTTACATTCAAGATCTCAAAACTAGATTACTCATTTGTTTCTTGAATCATTTGAGATCTGAGCTCCTATTAATTCCAGCATTTAAGTATCTAGTATATTTTTTTGGTTTTAGAAATGAAGGTAGTAAAAAGATAACCACTCTATTAGGCAAGAAGGCACAACATGGTATGGCAAATATATTATGATATTTCCTTTCCTTTCCTTCCCTCAATGCAGGACCTGCGGGAAACTTTAGAGAAGGAACGAGAGAAGATCCTAATGCTCCGTGCTCAGCTGAATGAAGCTGTAAACAAACAAACAAGTGTAAAATCAGGCACAGGCAGGGCTTCAGCGCGAGCTAGAAACACAGATATTTTGGAGAGTCACATCAGGTCCCCAAGTGAAGATGTTAAGGTAATGCAAATGTCTGTGGTTGTTGTTGTTGTTTTTCTTCATCTTCTTCTTTTTCTTCTTCTTCCCTTTATGAGTACTACTTAAGGGGGAGCATTTTGTTTATATATCTTTTTTCTCTCAGGCCTTTTTTTTTCATCTCCTCCTCCTCCTCCTCATTTGATTATAGGTGATTTCTACATGTTGATTTAAAGTATACATCATGTTCACGAAACATAGTCTTAGTGTATGCTAAGTGTTGGAAATTCCACATCCTCAGGTGCAGCTAGTTATTGAACAAGAAAGAGTTGCTGAATTGCAAAGATCACATGATAAGGAAGTCATGAAAGTTCAAAACCTGACAGAACAGTTAAGGATTGAGAGATCCTCCTCAAAGGCTCTGTTGATGGAGGAGCAAGCAAAAAATTCAGAGTATACCAAACTGATCAGAAACTTGGAAGGAGACAGAGACAAGCTCAAGAGACAGGTAAAGATGCTTAATTTCTGAGCATTGACATATAACTTGGTTGAATTTTGTTTCATTGTTTTATGATAATGAGGTGGGGAAAATTTGCAAATAAAAGTTATTTGGTTTTTTATTTTTTTTCACTGTTATTTTTCATCAGATCTCCAGTGATCGCGAGAGAATACAGCACCAGGAGTCAAGGATTCAAGAGCTAGAAAGTGACCTAACAAAGCTAGAGGCGGAATTGAGAGCCCAAGCAGCTGCCCACGAGATGGCATCCCACAGGGTCAGGGAAGGAGATGCACAACTCCATGCGTCTTATACTTCTGTACTAAACAAGCTGGTTAGTATCTGTGGGGACTGGGTGCATTTATGTTTGTGTGGATCCTAGTGTCTTTTTGTCCATCAGTTTCTCAGTGTCAGTCTTACAGTAAATGTATGCACACTTTTGTACTACAAACAATATATTATTTCTCTTTATTTTTACTTATTTTCCCAAGGGTGAGGCTGAGGCAGAGGTCTGTTCACTCCGTCTTAGAAACAGCCTGCTCTCGAAGGATCTAGAATTAGCCCGTGAAAAGGAAATGCAACTTCAGCAGGAGTTGAACACGGAGAAGATGGCCATCAACAGACTGGGTCTTCCTGCTCTTGCGAAGATAAATGTAAGATTTTTTTTCTATGTTTTTGCCTTATTTTGTGTTCCTTTATTGTGGATGATGTTGCAGAAATAGAATAATGCAATAATTTAAATACTTTTACCCATACTAGTTGCATCTCTTTCCCATTTTGCAGAATTTGAATGAATACTTTGAGCTGCAGCTAAAGGAAAACGTTGAGCTTTGTAAATCAGTCCTAAGGTTGACAGACAACCGCCATGCAGCACGTTTGAAAATTGTTAGTCTGGAGGCCACGATCACAGATCTCACTGAACAGTTGGTTAAGGCTAAGACAGTAAGTTCGTTTATGAGGTTGCTGTTCTTGAATTTGATTTACTTCATTGTGAATTGGATGCTGAAAGAGCAGAATTTTTTCTCTCTCGCTTTCCATTTCCTTCAAACTCCCTTTTATTTCATAGAGAAGTATTCCACACTATAAGACTAATTAGCTGTAATGAATAGGTTGTGAAATTTAAAGTATGAACATCTTCCCATCTTCAGCTTATCTCATTATTTAATTACCATTTTTGCATGTTACATTCATCTTCATTGAAATTTCTATGCCTCTAGCAAAGGACACTATTATGAAATATTAAGTTTATTCCAAATCAACAAAGATCTAATTGGTAAACCTTAGAGCATAGCATGATTTCAATGTTCTCAGAATCTTTTGTCCTCTACTAAGAACTGTGACTTGGTTTGTAAAATTGTATAGTATTTGGTCAACAGCATCTCAAATCTCTTTCCACAGGCTGCTAACTCAAGCCCAACACCAGAAAGAATTCTTCGCAATGAGCGCTCAATCTGGGAGACAGAACGGACAGCCTTGCAGTCACTTATCTCACGCAAAGATGCTGAACTTGTGAGGTTGCGGAGGGAAGCAGAATCACGACTTAGCAATCAGAACTTCAGCGCCCCAGCAGATGACTCGAGGGTGAGAATAATGTGTTTAATTTTAATTATTTGATATATATATATGTATGAAGAAAAATTCTCCCTAAGTCTTCCTTGCCACTCATTACAGTAAAAAAAAAATTATATGATCACAGGTTCAGTACATCTATGGAAAGTACTTACGAAGCGAGTCATGGCGCAAGGCACTTGTCTATCAAAAGAAGTACCTGCTTGTGGTGCTACAGGGCTATGAAGCTACGGAACAGAATACCTATTCTCGCCTCCATGTGATGGCTGAGCGAGTGTATGGTCCAGGGATTAGCTCTTTGAGAGCGTCTCAGCCGAGGGGGCAGCCAAATCGTAGCTTTAGGTAAATACTTTTCTTTTTTTATTATTTTTTGATCTTATAATGTTTTATCCTATTATTATTTCTCTTTTATGAAATTTATTTTTCCTTATTTCCTCTTAATGCATAATCATTTTTTCATCCTTTTCATTCCTTCACGCTACTAAAAAGAGGAATATTTTGATATTGATGGTAATTATAGGGAAGTTCATTTGAATGATTTTTATTTTCAGGGTGCGTGTGTTGGTAGTGATAGCTTGTTGCAGAATGAGATACTTGGTTCAGAGATGGAAGAGAAGTAGAAGACTA